TTTGTCTACTATCGCTGCTCTTCTGCAGCTCACTCTGATAAATTTTCAAGGAACTTATGGTTCCTCAGGGCAGTTTGAAAGTCCAGTAGCCTTCCTGACCTCCAGGAATGGACAGATCTGTCCATTTCAGTTTCTCTGGGTTTCTCATTTTCCCAACCTTGAGCCCTTTTTATCCCGAAAACTGAGAATTTATTCTTTCTCGTTCATTCATTGGCTTTGCGTGCGTGTGCATGTCTGCTTCTACATGTATGTATTTTTGTCCAATGCACACATTCAAGCAAGCAAGTTTCCCAATAGAACACCTTCTTAAATATTATGTTTTCAGTATTTGTATGCATTTTGGATTATAGAACTCCACTGGAAAATTTGGAGAAAAGCACATTTCAAAGGATAATTGGATTTTGGTTTCCACAGTGGTTTGAAAGTGCAAAATTAGGTCAGTTCTAAATATTATGTCAACCCATGTTGTGTCACCCTTTCCTTTCATTTTCTCCTCTTTTGTCTTCAGAAACTTTTCCCCGTTTGCTCTAAATTCTTTTGTCCTCCCCCTTTGCCACCCCCCTCTGAAAAGCGAAGGAGTTGAATGAGTAAAACTGAAAATTCTCTGCCATCAAAAAATTACATTTCCCAGATTTCTTGTGGGTGCAGTGAAATCCAACTGGGTTTCTTTCTGTTTTGCCATATGTTTGTAGAATACACAAGAAGAGCAAATTGGGATTCACAGTGCCGGGGTAGGAGGGAGGGAGGATGCAAAAACAGCTAAAACAATGATGGCTCTCTATGTACCTATTTCCCACCATTTTGCATGTAAAACCTAGCATGCACATTTGGTTTGAAAATGGCTCTTTTCCATCCCACACAAGCATTTACAAGTGACACATCCCAACTGAAAGGCTATTCTTGAAATGCTGCCACTGACAGTATTTAAAAGCCTTCTTGCATTTTCCCTAAAATTCTAGTGGAAATCTGATATAGGTTGGAACTAAACATTCAGTTTAATGAAGACTACCTTCACCTTCCATCGCCACCTCCCACAAAGAATTTCTAACCTGGATTTAGAACATTCACACATGAGCTGAAAGTGCATCAGAAAATCTCAGAACTGCTCTGAGGTGCAACAACGCATTACAAGAGAAACACAGAACTGCTGCTGAGAATGACATCTGTAGATTGTGTTCTTCTCTGTGCATAATAAGAAATATATAATCTGTTTCCAGGCATCGATATTCAGCATGTTTCCTTCCCCCATCCTCTGCAGACGATTGGATGTGGCTCAAGGGGAGAGGACGATGCCCAAAATGCTGCAATCAGAACATGGGTTAAGTTTTACTGCTCCTTCGGGAAGGGGGAGCTCATTTTCCGCGGCAGCCTTGGGTCTCTTAAACTGTGGCAGTCCAGCTTAGCATCAGGTGTGAAACGAACCTAATTTCCAAAGATTCCAGGCTCACTGTAAAGCACACACAGTCTAACACACTCTGTGCATCCAGAGTAAGCCCACAGCAGCCCATGGAGCTTACTTCCAAGTAAGAACACTGCAGGTTGCAGTCTGGATCGCTCTGTGTCAGTTCTCTCCAAGCTGGTGCCCTCCTGTTGTATAGGCCAGCAACTACCATAATCCCCAGACTGCAGACACTTCGCCTTCAAAGAAAGCAGCCATCAGGTTGCTGAGGAAGAGTATTTATCATTTCTCGTCCTTGTCTAGCCAACAAACACGACCACCAGATCTCTCATGCTTTCATTTGGATGTAATAAATAGATCGGGCACACTTTTTATTTTTTGGTCAGATCTAACAGAGTCTTGGATCAGCCTCATTACAGGCCTCACTTGCAGTTTGGTTTAATGTTATTTGTTGGAAGTTAGCCATCAAAGAAGGAAAGCGATTGGGGAGGCACTTGGTGGGGTGTGAGAAGGGCTGGGAAGAGGGAGGGAAACACTCACAGAAAAAGGAAGAGCAAGGAAGGGCAGCATGTCTGTGATGGTTTTAATTTGATTGCAGTCGACTTTCTGATTCCTGCATTCTAAAACTTAGAAGGAGTCAGAATTCCCGGGAACGTGTTTGTTGTAATTTTCTAAATGGGCACAGACAACTCTAGGAAAAAGCTTCCCTAACATTTTTCCCCTTAAATTCCTCCTCTCCCTTTTACTAAATTCATGATTGTTTTCAGGCTGAGAAGCTTTATCCTCCAACCCCTCCAGCCATCTCAAATAGCCAGGTAGAACTAAAGCGACTTTAAGCGGTTTGACCTTTGCAAAGCCGGCCAATTTTCAACACAGTAAGGAAAGGGAGCTGTTTTTCCCACCCTCTCTTTTGCAGGGCTGAGGGTTACCTCAGAGTCACATGCAAAATTTAAATTAAAAAAAGAATTACTGCCAAAGTTGGGAAGGTTGGCACCGCATCTGGATCAGCCTTCCCCTGCCTGCCACCCTTGTCACCCCAACCTGGCAAGTTCCGTCACCTCCATGGAGTCATGTTGCTTGGGAATGATGGGAGCTGGAGTTCAGCACATTATAGTTGAGGAACATCAGGCTGAAGAAGGATCTCCAGGTCCTTCTTGTTCTCCCCTTTACTCCACTTTTAAAGAGCTTTCCCCAGTGCCCTCTACCAAATAATGACAACATCTCTCGCAGATGGGATCCAATGTGCCATTGGAGCGCAATGGGACTGAACGTCTGAGTAGGAATGCACAGGAAGCTGCTGCTGTAAGAAGGGAAGGAAGGCACTTCTCTCCACCACTCAGAAAGGGAAACTGGGGTCATGGGGGGATCAGGGGAGAACCGCCTTTTGAATAAAAATGCTATGATGTTTAAACCTCCTAGCCAAGCATGCTTGAAGAAGAATGTCCAAAGCCCAGTCCCAGCATTGGAACTTTAACTGTTCTCCCATGAACGCGGGGGATGGAGATTCAATGGGATCTTAATACCATGGGAGGTCTTTGCTTGTTCTTTAGTTCCAGTGGGGCTTACTTCTAAGCCAGGACACCTGTAATTTTTGCATTCTTGATCTTGACGGTGCACCCTTAATCTTGGGGGGGGGGGGGGGTCATGTTCGAAACTAGTCTTGCAAAGTCTGCACACACACACACATACACACCTTGCATGCCTAGTGCAAGATGGGCCCCAAGTGTTTGTGCCGTTGTTTGCCTTGGATGCATCACTTGTGAGTGTGCAAAAGAGCTCTCTTTTGCAGAGGAAACACCATCGAAATGGCCAGCTAAGGCTGCAAGGAAAGCATCCCTGTGTCGCGAAACGGCTCTGTTGCCTCCTGCCAGCCTGTCCCCTTCCAGGCAGCATGTTAATTTTCCTTTAGAATACAACATGCTCTTCCAAGACTGTTTCCTCATCCAGCCTTTAACATCTCGAGAAGTTTTCTTTCTCCCCCCCCCCTTTAATCTCCTTTTCTCCCCCACCGAGCGGGGAGGATGAAGGAAAATCAATATCTAACATCATGGAGTAATAAGGTCCTTAGGGTGCCATAGATCACATTGGAGGCGAATTTTAGGCTGCTGTTAGTATGTTGACCACACACCGGTCCTCTCCGTCGAAGTCCACAAATGCTCTTTTGCCCTAACTCACCGGACTACACCTTCTCTCCTCACCTGCTATTTAAATATTTGGGGGCCTCTTTGCTTGCTTTGTGCCACAAACCCAAATGGGAAAGGAGAGTGGGTTTTTCTTAAAAGAGGCCAAAAAGCACCCTTCCCAAAGTCTTAGGGAACCCAAACGAAAGAAAGGCATGGCTTGCATTTGTGGATTTCTGGAGGCAGGCAGAAGAGGAACGCAATGAAGGTGCACCCCTAGCAGACTTACCTGGGAATAAGCTCCTACTGGTTTTATTGAGGCTCCCTTGCCAGAAAGCATGCGGGTGCAGGAAGGCTCTCAGGTTGCCCATCCCAAGAGGGTACAGCAAACCTGACCGGGTTTTTCTGCCTGCAGAGGGCGCTCGGGTTTCAGCTATCGGTGGAGCTCTGCAACTCCAGCTTGTCGATTCTTTTTCTCCCTCACTTTCTGACGGTTTTAAAATGCAATGATTTTTTTTTTTTTTTTTAAAGACAGAAACGGTTGGAGAATAAACCAGGGGGTAGCGATCCTGTCTTTCTTGCCAAGCCTCCGCTAGCCCAAGTTTTTCCTCCGGATCGAAGTCTCTTTCAAGGGAAGCAGCAAAAAGAAATGGGAAAAGAGTTTATCCCTTCCTTCTTTCCCTCCCCACTCCGACGTGGTGTCTCTTCAGCCAGAGAAAAGGACAGAGAAGAATACACGCCTGATTTTTCCCAAGCTGTCTGTCCCCGACTGGGCCAGCCAACAGCTGTCTCAAATCGACAGCTCGATCCATAAACTGCCCCCACCGCGAAAGGGGGGCAGCAACATTTCCAAAGGCTTGACTTTTAAAACCGGCTTAAACAGTCCCATAGAAAGAACGACTCTTGCAACAAACGCTTGCTAGACAAATCTGCAGATTTAAAAACAAAACAAAGCGACGCCTCAACACACCGCGAAGGGATCTCTCCACAAGCAAGGCGCACTTTGGATGCAAGGGGATGGTAAAACGGAAAAACTTGCTTTTCAGTAAAACTTCGGATGGGACCACGGAGCCCTTTCTAGAGCAAAAGAGCGGGTCCAGCTGAGATTTTAAAAATATATTTGCAACAGCAGACAAACCAGTGGTGCCAAATAGGAAACATATTTCCTAAACAAAAAGCTCCATTTCACAAAAGCTTAATTTGCTTTCTGATGGGTAATGCTTAATTGGTCTCTCTCTCTCTCTCTCTCTCTCTATGCCATACACTCAAACATGTCACATTTTCTAGTAGCCCATAACAGAATGTTGGTCTCAGAATTACTGTTGCAGTCTATCCACAGAATTAGGAATTCCAAACATCTATTTGTGGCAGCCTTTGAACTCAATGACATTCCAAAACTGCTTTAATATTTTAGCAAACATACTAACCCAATAATAATAATAATAATAATAATAATAATAATTCCAGCAGGGATCAGAGAATTGTAGTCAAAGTGGCAACAGTTTATTAGCCAAAAATATATACTTTCTTGTACAATTTGGTTCACACGTATGTACATTTTTTTACTATATATACAAAAAAAAAATGAAGACGCCTATTTCTCACTGGACTTCCAAAAAACCTCACGAATTCAGCTAATCCAGATGATACTACAGAAGCAGGGGGAAGGGGTCTTGGATGTTTTTGTATCTTTTTTTCTCTCATTTAATACATGGACATGCGTACAAGTTGTAACTATACAGAGAATTTTATTTTACAGTCATTAGAACAATAATTAAAAAATTAACTATGATGATGACAACGCAGAAAGTACCATAGCTGCATCAAGTTGTTTCTGAGGCCTAGAAGAAAAGGGACACAGAAAAAATATGTATGTATGTATGTATCTTAAATAATGATTTAACTGGTCATTTAATATGTGAAATTGCAACTGACACTTTCTTGAATTGCCAACAAAACTCTTTGCAAATATTTGAAACAATTGCCAATCAAGTTTGTGGGGATTTTCAGGGCATCCCACAGACTAACAGATATATTAAGGCATGAGCTTTCATGGATTTTTGGACACATACTCCCAGCATGGTTCTTGCCTCTGGTCCATTAAAGCTGATGTCCCAATACATATCGCAGCCTTTACAATTCTCTCAGAGCTTTGTCTATTTTTGCTGCAACATCCTAATAAAGCAATTTTATAGGAGTTCTACTGTATTGTGGGTATGATTCTTTATTTTTAAAAAATCGCAGGCCAAAGTGCCATGACTTTGGGCTTCACTTCATTCCAATACCCTACTCGGTATGATTCGCTAACTATAAACCACAATGCTTAAAAATACTTCTTCCAGTAATGAACTGAACTGAGGCCTGGATGCCAGAGAGGAGAAAGGGAAGCTACGCATGTGTGTAACACAGAGAGTTTATGGCCACTGTAGATATTACTTATGCAAATATAAATTCTCCACAGACATGTCTGTTTGTATGTGTTAACACATCTCTCTCTCATCCTCAAACACACACACACACACTCACAGCCCAGAGGGGTGTACTTGTAGAATGTACCTTTCTCATCCTTACCCAGCATAACTACCAGGTTCGCAACCCTCTCCCTGTGGCTTCCGTGGGTTTGTCCACTCAAATTCATATATACTTGGACACTGAATGGACCCTTAAACATGGCTAGTTTTGAACGACAATATCAAAATGGAGCTAGATAGAGGAATGGGTAGTATTCTGTCTACCTATATGTTCTAGCAAAATTATTTTTTAAAAACACACACAGGGACATTCGTAAGGCCTTTGAATCTCACAAGCCCTAGTTTTTACAAAGTCTGGCATTGGATCTTTTCCCAGTAATGCAAGTTTATTTCACACAACAAGGGACAGAAACATACAATTGACTTTGAAGGTGCAAAGGGGAGAAAACTGGTTGGGTATAACTTTGGCCTTAAAAATACATGCGGCCCAGTCTCTTGCATGGTTACTTGGAAGTCAATTCCATTGATTTCAATGGCATTTACTCCTGAGTAAGTGTGCAAGAGATGGCAGTTTACATTGCTACAAGTCCCACTGCTGCCATTGAAAGTTTTTTTTTTTTCTAAACAAGCGTCTCTCTCTCTCTCTCTCTCTCTCTGTTTCAGGAATGGGGAAAGGTGAAGGCTGCCTTTTCCTCTAGGACATAGATATTCTCTTACCGCCTCTGAACTGGTTGGAAAGCTGTCTTTATTAACTTTTTCTCTACTTCCAAGGCACTAGATCGATCTAAAACAAACAAAAGCAAACAAAGAAAAAAAAGTTCCTTTAAAAAAAAACCCACCTTGGATTTGCTTCTAAAAGGCCTTGAATTCAAGCCACTCTGACGAACTTAGCTCAGTGTATTTTTTTACCAAAATCGTTAGAGAACACAGACTGCAGACACATCCATAAAAAGAGACTTGATGTCAGTGGGAAGAGCTTATGTACTCTCTCATGTACATTTACGAGGGAGTAGGAGCACTAAATTCAAGAGGCCTCCTTCCCAGTAGAAATGTGTGGAATTGCAGTGTCCGGTGTGCAGGTATGACGGAGAAGCAAACCCCCTCTGAATTTTATTCTTTCCCAGCAGAACACGAGTGTGTGCCAGTGGGGGGGGGGGTCTTATACTTGTGTTGCAATTTCTCCTTTTTCAGAACCAGCAACCAATTAGGACCAAGGGAACTGCATCTCTCTAGCAGGGAGAGATTGCAACCCCCCAACCTACTTTCAGAGGAACAAAGGGGCTACCTTGTCCCCCATCCCAGACTCCAGTGGGCCACATACGTCTTTCTGGTGGCTCTCTTTTCCTAAAGACCCACCATTGAGTGATAAACCGCATCAAGCAAGGGAAAGGAACCAGAGTGGGGCAAGAGAGACAGTGGGCAAGAGCTGAAGGTCTCTTTCTGAAAAATAAAGAAAACCTTTCTCGTCTAAAGTTTAGGCCAAGGAGGAGTAAAGCAAAACCTTTCTCAGGAATATATTAAAGGCGATTCATATTATTGGGATTAATAAGTCTGCCTTTCTCTTCCTTGTCCCCTCATTCAGTTGTTTTTGGGTTTCGGGGTCTTGAGGGTTCTCTCCATATTATTTTTTAAGTCCTACCACTGTGTTCAGATCTTGTGGATTCTTCTCTCTCCCCTACTTCCAAACCTGAATTCTTAAAATACGCAGAGGTGCTCCCCGGGCAGAACCGGTCCCCTGGAGGTACATTTGCCACGCTGCCCGCTTCCCCATCCAAACGAGACTTCCACTGCAACCCTGCCATGTCAAGATGCTACCTTCCCGCAGCAACTTGTTCCATGGGGCTTCTTTTCCGAGCAAGCCTGAATCCAGAGAGACCTTTCCGGAAAAAAGGCGTTGCATCGCCCTCGAAGGAAAGGCCCGGACGCGCGTGCTTCGCCCCATTCCCAGGTTTGCTTGGAAAGGCTCCAGAACGGCATTTTACGAAAAAGTGCCGGACTCCCCTCGGAGGGAGGGAGGGAGAGCCCAAGCGCGCAAGCTCCCTCTCCCCTTCTCCCCACGAAGGTCTCCCCGGACGCCCCCCCGGCCCTTCCGCCTCCCCGGCCCATTCACCGCCTCCGTCGCCCCCGTCCAGCGCGGTTACCTGATCCGGAGGAGTCCGCGCTCTGCGCTTGGTCCGCGGGTCGCGAGAAAGCCGCGATCGCCGCCGCTGCGGTGGGGGCCGAGCTGGGGCTGCCCCCGGCGAGTCCCAGCAGGTGGGGAGAGTTCAGCAAGGTCAGCGGGTGAGGGTGGTGGTGGTGGTGGTGGGGCTGGGCAGAGAAGGGGCGGCCGGTCCAGCTGGCGAACTTGCCCAGCGGGCAGGCTGAGACCAGTCTGTGCGCGGGCCCCGCGGCCGTCGGGGCGGCGGCGGCCGCGCCAGCGGGGGCGTGCGGGGGGCCCGCCAGCTGGAGGCCCGGGGGCGCGGCCGCGGGGGGCGAGC